TGCCTATGGCTTTGGATGGCCTGGGAGGGCCTTGTCTTCCCAGCTGTTCTTGACTTCCCAGTTTCACTGAGGACCTAGAACATCCCTGAGATTTGGGCGTTTCTGCTGCCTTTGTAAAGGGGCTTGGAAGCTAGGGAACCTTGCAGGGTTACTTCACAACTTCCCTTTGAAAAGATCACTTGCTTCATCTTTCTGTACTTTCTGCTTCCAACTGAGGAGGAAGGTGACTCAGTCTCATGAGTGAGCTTCTCGGTCATGTCTTCATTTCCTATCTTAATTCCTGCCTTACAGATTGTGAATATCACTCTGGTTCTCAATGCTGGGTGATGCCTCATTGACCTCCTGACTTTTGGTTGACCCTAAGCTTGATGTGGGTGTACTGTGACCTTCCTGTCCTTTAAAGATGCAGAAAAGAGATTATGACATCTTTACAGTTGCCCTGATGTACACTCATGTTGGCCCATCAAAGTTGGGAATGGGTTACGTAATCCCACATGACTTCAAGAGGAATCTCTGCAACACATGAGAAAGAGCATGAAAGATACAGTGGGAGTCAAGTGCCCAGAGTTCTGAAGCCAGCTCTGAGAGGGCTGGCCGTAGGGCCTGGAGCATGACCTTCCCCTACTTGTCTTAATAGAAACTCTGGTCTTCTGCAACTCACACACCTTAGCTATTGTAGACTGTCTCTTTCACCACAGGTCTCTGAAGGTCATTCCAGGGCAGGACTGTGACTGCCTGCCCTCTAGGTCCCTCCTATTTCCTTTAGGACTGCCCTCTAGGTCACTCCTATTTCCCATCTTTATCATCCTCACGGATTGGCACATAGCAGGTGCTTCAAATCCGTTAACTTCAAGAGCTTTGTGAACAGCACTTTGCTGTTTTCTGTTCACATACATCCACACCCTTAATCACCAGGGTGAATCTGCAGAGTAGGCATTCTTATTATAACAGGATGTTAAAATGAGGTGTTTTCAAAGGCTGAGAACAAAATAGCAGGTGTCATCCTGTGGTGCTAGACCATATGTGCAGGACTTGCAAGGGGGCGGTCAAAAATCAGTTCACCAACAGTTACCCGTCACTAAACTCCATGTGAAGGAATGTGAACAATTTGTTTTCAGGGCCAATGCTGGTGAATTTGGGGGTGCCCATATTATACCAGAGTGGACTTTTCATTATCAGAAAAACCATGAGCTAGGTATATGAGGTCTGGTCCAAGGGCAGAATAAAGTATACATCTGTATAGGTATAATGATGCATAGTTTTCTGTGGCTGCTACAACAAATTTTCACAAATTTATGGGCTTAAAACAACACAAATATACTGTCTTACCATTCTGTTGGTCACAAATCCAATATGAATCTCAAATGGGTGAAAATCAAGGTGCCAGTAGGGTGCGTTCCTTTCTGGAGGCTGTAAGGGCAAATCATTTTCTCTTCCTTTTCCACCTTCTAGAGGACACCTATATTCCTAGCTTCAGGGTCTCCTTTCTCTATCCCAAAGCCAGCAGCAGCAGGCCAGATGCTTCTCATGCTGCCATCTCTCTGGTCCTCTCTTCTGCCTCCCTCTTCTACTTTTAAGGACGCTGTGATGACATCAGCACCACCTGTGTAATCCCAGCTATTTTAAAGTCAGTTGATTAGCAACCTCAACTCCATCTGCTACATTAATTTCCTCTTGCCATGTAGTCTTAGTTATTATCCTGTCTACCACAAACTGAGAAGGGTGGGAAAGATCACATTGCTTCCAGCTTGCACCTTGCTAAGCATTGCTCACCCAGTACATGTAATTGAATCTATTCTACAGGTGAGGAAACTGCAGATCAGAGAGATTAGGAGTGGTGTCCACTCCTGACATGCATAGCAGTCCCTTAATGCCTGACCCTGTCCTCCAGGGATTCTGATCTAATTGGTCTGGGATATGGTGCGGGATTTTGTGAAAATTTCCAGGTTATTCTAGTGAATGGTCAAGGATGGAAAACACTGGGCCAAGGAATTACTTCAATTCACCCAAACAGCTGGAAAAACATGGTGAGACAGCCCAGTCTATCTCACTTCAAAGTCCCAATGAGGGGCTGGTGGAGGAGAAACCTCGTACCCTTTTGCTGGAGGGGGTTAAAACCAAAGGAACAGAGCTTCAGAGGTAGAATATCAAGCACTGAATTCCCAATGGCAACAAAAGAACAAACTTTCCTTTGGGAAAGAAAAGTGAGAGTGTTCAGAAGACAGAACCTCACATAGGGCATGAGACAGAGGGATTTTATTTTATTTCTATTATTACTAGGGCCAGGCTATAGAGAGGGCTATGCCAGAAAGACCTTCCAGATGCCTTCCTCTTCCTCTCCTTAGATAGTCTGATCTGAGGGCTTTCCCATAGCACTGCATCAGCTTAGCCCCCCCACCCCTCCCTGACATGCTGTCTAGTCCCCAAGCCCTGGGTCCCAGAATGGGTTAAATTGTGACCTGTCCAAAAGACACATCTAAGTCTTAACCCTGTGGATGTGAACTTATCTAGAATTAGGGTCTTTGCACACATAATTAAATTATGGATCTTGAGATAAGATGGCCCAAATCCAATGACTTATGTCCTTCTAAAAGAAAGGAGAGGGAAGTTTGATGCACAGAGAAGAAGGCCAGTGAGGACAGAGGGAGGGATCAGAAGGCAGTCAGGAGCTAAGAAACACCACTGGCCACCAGCAGCCACTGGAAGGTAGGAGAGATGCTGGATCTCCCTTCAGAGTCTCGGAGGGGGAATGGCCCTGATAACACCTCAATCCAGGGTCTCTGGTGTCCAGGACTATGAAAGAATATATTTCTATTGTTTCAAGCCACTCCATTTGTGAAAATTTTAACAGTAACCACAGACAACTAATAGAGGTCTCATCCACCCCCTCCCCACCACCATCTGGATGCCGTAGGAGAGCCAAACACAGTGAGAATGCAGGGCACTGCCTCCTGGAGCCATGTCCCCTGCCCCTGTCTGAGCACCCAGATCCTGAGGCCTCACTCTGGGTTAAGGGTATCAAGGAAGGACCAGGGCCATGACCTCTGATGCCAGGAACTTGAGAACACTTCCAAACATAGCACGTGATTTTCAACCCACACTGCACTACAGGGGTAAAAAGGGGTTTGAGGCCAACTCCAACCCTGGGCCATGCCAGGACAGCCCCAAGCATGGGGGAATGGCCCCAGCTCTCATAGTCTTGGAAGCATCCATTGTCTACCCAATAACTGTCTTCTCATTCATTGCTGATAACTGCACCCCAGCTTTGTTGGGACAGCAATATGTCCTACTCTGGAGGATAAATCATGCCTGGTATAATTGGATCACAGAAGGCCTTTTCATCCTTCATTGCCAGTGATGGTTTAAAAGGGAGCATATGGTCAGGTGTGGTGGCTCATGCCTGTAATCCCAGCACTTTGGGCCAGGAGTTTGAGACCAGCCTGACTCACATAGTGAAACTCTGTTTCTACTAAAAATACCAAAAAAAAAAAAAAAAAAAAAGAAATAGTCAAGCATGGTAGTGCATGCTTGTAATTCCAGCTACTTGGGAGGCTGAAGCAGGAGAATCCTTGAACTCGGGAGGCAGAGGTGGTGGTGAACCGAGATCATGCCATTGCACTGTAGCGTGGGTGATAAGAGTGAAACTCCATCTTAAAAAAGAAAAAAAGGGAGCACATGACTTAGTTTTAGTCAAAAAGATGTAAGAGGAATTCTGCTGAGAACTTCTGGGAGAAAAAGTTTCCTCTAAAAAAAGAAAGAAGTGCTTGGGGGAAAAGCCATTTAGCTCCTTCCCCATTTGTCTCCAGCATGAAATAATGTTGGGGGTTGTGTGTGATGTCTGGAGCTGTGGCAGCCGTAATGTGTCAGTGAATTGAAACACCATTCATGTGCTGAAGATGGCAAAGAGGATGATTGGAAAGCCTCTGGGTCCTTGATATCATTGAGACACTGACCAGTTGACCCGTCCTGGGACCATCTACCTATTGAGTTTCCTTTGGTTAAGGCCTTGTAGTTCAGTATTTAGGTGTGTTCACTGAACCATCCTAACAGAGCCTAAAATACAGGCTGGAGGCTACTCAGGACTTTCAGTGCTATCAGTAGGTTTTGTAGGACACATAATGTGCCCCAAGCCTATAATTTATAGTCCATACAGTGCATGGAAACAGAGAAATGGGAAAATCTGAGTTGGACTCTGATCCTTCTCATCTTCACTGTGTGAATATAGGTATAGTGTAAGTCTTTCTGAGCCTCTCCTTCCACATTTGCAAGCTAGGACAATAATCCCAACCTACAAATCATCATTAATTTGTTCTGAACTCAAATAAGATGATGCTACAAATGCATTTTATGGCATGCTGTCTAAATGAACAAGACTGTTAACCAGCTCCACTTGCTTTTATTTTGTATGAAGTGTGCGTCCGTGTGTGTGTGAAGGGGGTGGAGAGAGAAAGTGTTAACCGGAAGATATGCCTTAAAAGTGTGTCCCTCAGGAGGGCAAACATCGCTTATCTGGGAATCCAATTTGGGGTAATTCTGTCTCCTGGAGCCAACTCCCTCTCACATTTAATCAAGTTCCATCAATTCTACTTCCCCCAGGGCCTGTGCCTCTGTTTCATGCCCCATCTCCATCCTCACTGTCTTGCTTCAGAGTGCATTGCTTCTCGCTGGACCATTGCACCCGTTCCAGTCGGTCTTTTACCTCCACAACGGAACCTTCATGAGTGAGTCTTTTCGACCACTCAGGTGGGACCGTGCCACCCGGGACCCGCTCCTGATGGATCCCATTTTTGTGCTGCTTTTTACCCAACATTCTCTCCTTCTAGGCTACCAAAGTCCTCATTTGCCCAGCATGCAGCACAGGGCCTGGTGCATAACAGATGCTCATAAACATTTGTTGGATGGAAAGAGCAGCCTAGGATTCAAACCTTGGAAAGAGGATTAAGATGCAGTTGGTGTTACCCAAGAATTGCCTTGGATCCACAAATTAGAGGCAGCAATGCTTCACTGCATGCGGATACTTTATTGAAGGTAACTGGCTATTTTAGAGAAAAACATGCTCATAGCTGGCAGCCTCGGGTGGGGTGTTGGGGGCACTCAGGAGTTGGTCACTTGCTGTAGGGTTCCTGGAGACTTAGGAGGTCTTCTTTTACCCCAGATCCAGCCGTCAACTCCTCCTCTTCACTCTCTGCCAACTGCCCGCCCTTGGCTCCATCTGAAACAGGTGGGCAAGGAGGGTTGGTCCAAACCAGATTAGGACTTCTCCTCTCTGGTCCCTTCCTTTTGGCCCAAAGAGACCCCAGCCTCCAGTAGGCATTTCCTGCTAATGCCCTTTAGAGGGACATTTCCACTGAAGTGCCAGAATCATCCCCTGGCTATAAAGACATGCTAAGGGTATGATGGTACTTGGGTTCACTGTCAGCGGATAGCCACTTGGCCTTGGAAACAAAAAATACAGTTGAAAATCTAAATTATGTGCTGGACAAGATCCCTTCCCTGTTTAATGGCCCACCCCCATTTCTCTGCACCTGAAAAACTCCTGACATTCTAAACTCCATATCCCAGGCATCATCTCTCCTGGGGACCCTTCCCAGAGCCTCCAGGGAGGAGTGAGTCCTCCTTCCTCTGGGCTCCCACTCGCCCAGGCAGTTTCCATCACGGCCTCTGGAAAACTGAAGGGCATCCCTGGGTTGTGTCACTCACACCCATTATTCCAAAGCTTCCCGAGAGCACTGTGATTTCTCTCTATTCTCGGTGCCTTCATTATGATTTATTTTCTCTCCTTAACATGTCTGCAACAGGAAGAGGTAGAAATGCCCACTTTTACCCTGGTTAGAATTGCCTCTCCAAGATTTTCCACGTAGGCCTTCAAGGGCTGTGAGGATGAGGTTCCAAACACTCCCTTCTCTTCCTGTACCAGTGTTCTAGGCTGGAAGCCTTAATGCTGGTTCATCATTCGAACCCCCACAGACCTTCTCTCCTAGTCACCCCACTGCCCTCTCCCTGTGCCTCTCTTGCTTCTCCTTCCAGCCCTACATCAGATCAGGAGACCCTTGGCAATGCAGAGCTTCCCAGACCATGAACATCTCATGGGAAGGGGCTGTGCTATTGGCACTGATGACCCCTGACTTCAGTGCACATAGCACAGGTCTTGTGCAGAGAGTGCAGCAGATGCTGACATCAAGACCCAGCCCCCTCCCCTTGGCCCCTGCCTATCCCATGGCTTTGCTACCTGCAGATGCTTTCAGAGACGAGATGTACTTGGACCAGAAGGAGCAATCGGCTTTCTTCAGGCCCTGTCGATTGGGGAGCTGTGTACTGAACTCCTTGTAGTTCTCCCCGCCAGCACTGGGTACAAAGTCAGGCCAGGGGCTTGCAAAGTCAGGCACTTTCCGCGAGAACTCATAAGGGTAGTTGGGATTTCTGGGAAAATGAGAAGAAAGAAATACCCATGAGGGAAACTTGTCTTTCCCTTCATCACCTGAATCACTTCCCACTTGCCCTTGATATCTGAGGGACAATTCCGGTATCTGTAAGTGTCAGGGCTGCATATGAACCCCCGGATCTGGCTTCTGGGGTTGTGATCTTAACTACGGCACCGCAAAGCTAGGCCACTTCTGGGTGAGGAAAGGTGTTGAGATCATAACCTGGTAGCATCACCCAGGGCCTTGCGCTGCCCTCCTGTCTTTGTGAATGTTCAGGAGATCACCGTGCTCTACTCTTTCCTGATATTCTTAGATCTAGACACCTTAACTAGCCTTTGGAATGCCCTTGTTTGTCCAAGGCCTGGGCAGGAGGGTGAATCTGCAGGCCAGCTGCCCATAATGGGGACACGGCGCCTGTTCAGATACCAGCTCCTTCCCAAACTTGCTGCCCAGGCCCAAATTCCAGCATGTCCTGCGTGTAGCCCAAACACCAGCCCTGCAACCACCTGGCACTTCCCAGACAAGGCGTGTCCTCGTATCACCACTGCATTCGCGCAGACCTCCTCTCCTGGAAGTGCCTTCTTCCCCTTTGCTTACCTGAATGTTCTATTCATCCCCCAAGGCCCAGTTTAAATGTGCCATCCTCAGTGAAATATTTTCTAAAACCCCAATTAGAAGAAATGTGTTCTTCTGCTCACCTCCCAAAACAAACTGCATAAAGCTTTATTTTCTCCTGCTTTGAATTATGGTTCATTTTTATGTTTTCAGACTATTAGTAGCTGGGAACTGGGCCATGACTTTTGCATCTTTTTACCTTTCCAGGGAATCTAGCACAGTCTAGGTAATCCATGCACATTAGCCAGCAGCCAGGTGGGAATAATGACTTGGAAGCCAGTCCAATGGTGTGAATGGCCTAAGCTGGGGCTGGTGCTGAGGACCCCGGTTCATGGGCCATGGAGTGAGCATTGTGAACCGGGGAGGGGTAGAGTGGAAAAGCCTGTTATCTGATGGCAATAACAGGAAAAGGAAAGCACAGGAATCAATTATGTAGGTGGGGACCGAGAATAAACTTAACTGGACTGGAGTAGAGGCAGGCAGGGAAGAGGAAGAGCCTCAAGGTGCATAAAGAAGGGCCCTGAGCATTTCAACTTGAGCTGAAAACCCAAGGCACTGGGATTCCCCTCTATGGAGAGAGAGTGGCTCTCCTCCAAGTGGTTTGCCTCCAGAGGACATTTGACATGTTTGGTTCTCAAAACTGGGCCGAGGTGGGCACCACTGGCATCTGGTGGGCAGCTAGAGGCCAGGGATGCTGTGAAGCATCCTACAGTGCACAGGACACAGCCACGACTTATCCAGCTCGCAATGTCCACAGCACTAAGGTTGAGAAACCCTGACTTAGAGTCATGGAATGCAGCTGGTATAATCAGCGCTTTTCTTCATGAAGATTAATGTATGCAAAAGCAGTTTTGGCTAGGAGAGGGCGATCGAGACAGGGAGCCCAGTGGCTGGTGACTGTAATACCTAGGGAGGAAAGGGTGAGTCCATCGATGTCAACTGGGCCTTTGCGTTCTGCTTGAAGGAAGGGGAGGAAGAGCACAGTAACAGAATTCTGAACAAGGCCCACTTACCCTGATCTGATGAAGTGGGAAAAGTACTGCATGATTTTCAGTGACAGGCTCTTCTCCTCCAGAGAAAACTGCCCCTCGTAGGCTGGGTAGAAGGGAAGCCCAAAGGCAAACTGAACATCCACCAGCAACTCCAGGCTGAGAAAACAGAGGAAAAGCAGCAGCAAAAGGTCAAAAAGAAGTCAACTACTCAAAAATGCAAACGAACCAAAAACCAAAAATTTCTCATCAATATTTCTTCCAAAACAAAAAGCATACAAACCAAAAGCCAACCTTCTTCCAAAACCGAGGCCTTCCCTTCTTTCCATCATGTTTAAGGGTCCTGTTCAGTGCTCAGTTTAGTAAAGATTTGGCTTGGCCTAAATTTGGTGCAGTGGCCCCTTGGGGACACATCGGTGGCATGTCTGTTGTCTGAAGTGAGACCAATGCCTAACACTTCACTCTCTAGAAATAAATGCCTGTGAGAAACTTCCCAACACGACGAGTGTTTGATCCTATTCTACTCATGATACTTAGGGTATCACTGGATACTGGTACTCTTCTAGTCACTGAAAAAGCAATCAGGAAAGTAGCTTGTATTTGAGCCCATTCTCTGCACCAGCTCTTGTGCATATACAATTCACACTCTCACAACTCTTCGAGGAGACATTTATCCCTGGAGCCCATCCCAGCACAATGGCTGGCAAATAGGAGTTGTTCAATAAATACAGGCTAGTCTGGATTGAATATCTAGGAAGCAGCATCCAGGTGAGAATGATGACTTAGAAGTCAGTCCAGTGGTGTGAATGGCGTGAGCTGGAGCTGGTGCTGAGGAGCCTGGTTCATGGGCCATGGAGTGAGCATTGTGAACCGGGGAGTGTGACGGAGTGAAGAGCCAGAAAGGATTTCACCACTGCATAGTAAAGAATTTGGCTTTGCCCAAAGAGAGGTCTGGACTTTGCCCTTGGTTTCTGGAAGGTGAGTCATACTTGTTAGGAGTAGGACAGAGGCTGGCCACACTGGATCGTAGGGTGGACATGGCCCTACCCAACAGTCTTAGGGTGGGGACTGGCCATGCCAGAAAGAACAACCATGTGATTTAGTACGGGAGCTTTAGGTCACATGGTATCAGACAACCTGTAAACTGAGAGTACTCACATGGCAATTGATCAGTCAATCAATCATGCCTATGTAATGGAACTCCAATAAAGCTTTGAATACCAATGCTGGGGTGAGCCTCAGTGCAGAGAGCAATGCGTCCTAACTCCACAGGGAGGGGACAATGGAACTTCATACTTGGAACCCTCCTGGGCTCTATGCCTCTCTTCCATTGGCCAATCTTAATCTGTGTCCTTTCCCTGTAATAAATCATTGTGGTGAGTATCATAGCTCTTAGTGAATTCTGATTCCTTCCAGTGAATTATCCAGCCTGAGAGTAGTTTGGGAAATCCCTGCATTTTCAGCTGGTATCAGAGTGGTCTTGTGTGGAGACCATGCCCACTAATTTTGTCATTGGCCCCATCTTATTGCAAAAGCCAGCCTCTAATTTTGTAGACCAGGAAAATTAGGTCTCTGGCAGTTTCCTGACTTTCCAGAGACACAGAGTAAGTGAATAGCAGAGTCAGATCAAAGCTGAGGTTTCCAGAACACATGATGCTAACAAAAAGCCTTAGGGCCTCGGGGCGCTCCCCTGCTTGGGTCCTGGCTCCTCCATCTTCAAGCTGGGTGATGTCTGACAAATTACTTGGCCTCCTTGATTTCCTACTTTCTCATCTATGAAATGGGTGTGTAACTCCTGTATCAGTCTGTTTTTGCACTGCTGTAGAGAAATACCCGAGACTGGGTAATTTATAAAGGAAAGAGGTGTAATTGACTCACAGTAACACATGGCTTGGGAGGCCTCAGGAAACTTGCCATCATGGCAGAAGGTAAAGGGGAAGCAAGCACCTTCGTCACAAAGGGGCAGGAGAAAGAAGAGAGCAGGGAAAACCATCAGATCTCATGAGAACTCACTCACTATCACTGGAACGTCCTGAAGAAAACTGCTCTCATGACCCAATCACCTCCCACTGGGTCCCTGTAATTGTAATTCTGGGGATTACATTTTGAGATGAGATTTGAGTGGGGACACAGAGCCAAGCCATGTCAACTCCCTACCTCATAGTGCTGCTGTGAAGATCAAAATAAGATGGTGTTGGAGTAGCTATTTAAAAGGGAAATAAAATGTGGTCCAGTTCTTTCTCACTTCATTGGTTCACTTCCAGAAGCAATCGACTGTCTTTATGTTCCTGGAAGCATCTCTGACCCAGCAGTTCTCATCCCTGCTGGTAGAATGGGCAGAGGTAACCAGCAGACAGATGTCCTGGGAAAGGACTAGACGGCAGTGGCTTCCAGATAGAGGCAGATTGTGTGGAAGTGAAATTCTATGAAGTGCAATGATTTGTGGATAGACAGTCTGACTAAGACTCAGAGATTCCTTGTGATTATCCAAGAGACTGGGAAAAAGGGCCCTCTAGCTCAGGGGAACACTTGAAGGGGAACGCTTCAAGTGAAGAAGGCACCTTCTTCTTGCCCCCGTTCTTCTCAGGCTGGGGACTGTGGTGACAGCAGAGGTTCAGGGGTCCTCCCTAACTCTAAGGCCTCAGGATTTGAGAGCGAGTATTCCTACTCTGGCCAGAAGATTGGTTACCAGGCATACATGTACTGGCAGAAGGATATAGAAAAACAGACATAAACTCATCACTCATATGAGATTCAGCTCTGAAACTTACAGCTTCTGTAACTTTGGGAGAAAGTCCATGCATCAGCTTCCTCTTCATAAAATACCAGATAGAATAAGCTATTGCACGTGGAAACCCTATCTAAAAGAAGTGTTTTTTTGTTTTCTTTCTTTCTTTCTTTTTTTTTTGAAACAAAGTCTTGCTCTGTCACCCAGGCTGGAGTACAGTGACGCAATCTCGGCTCACTGCAACCTCTGCCTCCCAGGTTCAAACGATTCTCCTGCCTCAGCATCCCAAGTAGTTAGGACTACAGGCACGCTCCACCACACCAGCTAATTTTTGTGTTTTTAGTAGAGATGGGGTTTCACCATGTTGGCCAGGATGGTCTCAATCTCTTGACCTAGAGATCCACCCGCCTTGGCTTCTCAAAGTGCTGGGATTACAGGCATGAACCACTGTACCTCGCCAAAAGAAGTGTTTTTACAAATGCCTGCTATTATTATGATTATGTTATTGTGTGTCAGTACTGGGCCACTGCACTGGAAGGCATCATAGAAGAAGTTGCAGCCATGTAGGACATACAGCAGGGGTAGGAAGAGGAGAATAACAGTCACCAAGTGCAGCATCTCTTTACAATTTCCTCAAGTATCCAGGGCCTTCTTAAAGAAGGAGGAAGGTTTCCTATTGATTGAGAGGGGAGCAGGAAGTAGTGAGTGTCACTGAACTTTGTAGGATCCTGGGACCCAAAGAGCTAAGTCCCTTGGGCAGTGTTTGAAGTAACTGTGAGGAGTTAAGGAAAGAGCCTCAGATTCTGCGGTGGCCAAGGTGGCCTGTTTTGCAGCCAGCACCACCCAGCATCTGCTCATGGCCCCCAATTCCAGTGCTGTGCCAGGCACTGTGGTAGATCTTGGGCAGCTGTGATCACCAACAATCAAGAGCTGCTGGAGAAGTGAATGTTACCATTCACATACTTTCCAGGTGACAGCCAAAGGCTCAGACAAAGGGACAGGCCCAAGATACGGGAGAGCCAGAGCTCAAACCCGCATCTCCCAGGCCCCAAATCCCTGGCTCTGTGTCGTCTACCTGTGCACTGGGAACTGAGGACCCCTTAAAAGTGTTTGCAATGTAAGTTATTAGGAAGAGGATCACAAAACAAAAAATACCAGGCAGAGAGAAGTTGTCATTACAATGGCAATAAAAATAATCTCTCACACAAACCCAAAGTTGATAGTTTACAAATGTTTTTCACCCTTGCTATCTCACCCATCCTGTGAATAGGTATTACTCCTTTCAACCCTGGAGGAAACTTGGGCTCAAAGAGGCCATTTTCTTACCGAGGCCCCATAACTGTTTAGTGGTGATGCCAGGACTGAAGTCAGGTCTGCAGATTTTGTGGTCTGCGGTCCCTTTGTGTCTTGCATGGGTATTCTCGTGGCCTCATTGCCCTCTTGTTGAAGCTGTCTTGTTTCTCAATCACCACACTCCCTCTGTGGTGGCCACAGAGCAGCCAGGAGGCCCAGGGTTAACAGGGCCCCTTCATCTTTCTTCCTCCAGTGATGTCTGGCCGACTTTCTCCCCACTGGGGCTTAGTCCTCCTCCTCACAATGTGATTGAAGGTGAAACTCCTGCTTCTCAGGGGGCCCTTCTGGAAAACTGGCTCTGTTAGTTCCCCATTGCTCCCCTAAGAAATTACCACAAATCAGTGGCTTAACACAACACAAATGATTCTCTGAGAGTGTTTGGAGTTCATAAATCCAGGATGGCTGTTAGTGGACTAAAATCAAAGGGTGCATGGGCTGCTTTCCTTCTGAAAGCTCTGGGGAGAATTCTTCTCTTGACCATTCAGGTTTGCGGCAGAATTCAGTTCCTTGAGTCAGAGGATCCAGGTCCCCATTTTCTTGCTAGCTACAAACTGAGGGCCTTTCCCAGCGACTAGAGGCTGCCAATCAGAACCTTCCTTCATCCTCAGAGTGGCCACGTCCTTCTCATGCTGCATCTCTTTGGAGCACTCCCCTGCTTAGGTGACTTAATCAAGCCTACCAGGATAACCTCCCATCTCAAGGTCTTAAACCTTAATCACACCTGCTAAGTTTCTTTGCCATGGATGGTAACATATTCACAAGTGTGTAGGACTTGGACATTTTGGGGGGCATAACTGCTACCACAACAGCCTGGTCTACTATTTCCTCCAAAGAAAGCTGCATTCCAAATGTTCTAGTGAGCAGAAATAAACTTGCAAGGCCAGAGTGCTCTGTGGAAACCCCAGCTCAGTCACTGACGATTGTACAATCTTGAACAAGCTGTCTAATGTCTCTAGGCTTTGGTGTCCTCCTCTGAAAAATGGTGACACAATTATGCTTATCTCGGACACTGAACAACATTTACTAATAAGACATTTTTAATCTCTCTGACCCAGTTTCTGGCTCATATACCTATTTC